TTTTGATGGCAAAGTGCTTAACCGCGCCCGAATGAGACACATTGTTTCGTGTTCGAGTTGTTTTGACACAATTTATAAGGAAATTCCTGCCATTGCAGTCCCGGCTCTGATTGGGCCCCGATAAGAGTTATTAATATGCAATAATGCAAGACATTTGGCGCCAAAATACATAACACAGCAATGGCGCCTTTCAAATTGTTTATGTGCTGTAAACAATTTGGGAGACATAAACAAGCCTTTGGATGACGATAGGTATGAAGTGCGATGAAGTATGGAAAATAATCATATTTTCAATGGACAACAGAACGATATTTATCTAATCATTAAAACAGGCCAAAATGTTTAATATTCTGTGTATGTCTATCCTAGAACAAGGCCTAGCTGTCTAGCTCGTATAATGTTCGAGCTCTTCTTCCTATACCATGCCTCAAAATCGATATTATGAAAGTGTAAAAAAGTAATAATCTCTAACAGCTTATGGTAAACGAGAATACAGATGTACTTCAAATATCAAGTCTGAAGCATCTGCAGATCGACTCAGTCGCATTTTCGACTTCGTTTCAGAGCCTATTTATTTAGTTTCACAAAATGTATTTATTTGTCGGGAAGTGTTTTTGATACATTCCATAACTTTGAGTATTTACTATTGTAATTAATATTTGATTTATACTTTAACTTCAACTTTATACTTTCGTTCAATAAGTTCTTGAGAAAGCGGTTTTTGCTCTACATTTTAGCCCATGTCTTCATCTGAAGTCTTTACCTTATATAGTCTCGGGGATAGACGTGATATGGATATGGATATGGACGGGTAGACAGGTAAACAGACGGACAGACTCTATATGTTTTCACATGTATACATGTTTTAGTTTTTAAGAGGGAGAGTTACAGCAATTGGACAACTAACCTAACACATATCAATTAATTAGCTTAATTAAAGACCTGGCGAGCTGTGGCCAAGAAGTGTCGAGGATTCATGCTTAAGCGAATCGAAGAGTAGAGAATTATCTACGTAAGATCTGCAAAGTTGGGGTGGGTGACCATAGCCAAGGACTTCAATTAGCCAAATAAGGCGGTTTTGTGTCAATGCGATTGTGGACGTATGATGGCTAGCGGATGGCTCGAATGGATGGATCGGACCTGTGGCGAAATGCCACTCAAATGGTCGTTTGGGCGTGCATAAAGCAAACATCAAAAGGAATCAAATCAGCGCGCGGACAACATGACAAAATGTGAAGGACCATCGACGTCAAAATTGGGGGTTGGTCTTTGACTCGTCGAGGCTGATACAAATCATCCTCGCAGCCAACTGGGTTCAAAAGAATGCCGCGAGGCGGTGTCAAAAGTCAACTGAATTTTGGCACAAGCTTTGCGCCATTTATACTGTATATCCCAGTACACATGTGTGTCTCTGTGTGTGTGTGTGTGTGTGTGTGAGTGTGTTTGTGTTGTTGTGGGTTGGTTCCTTGCACAAACTGTCAACCAAGAAGAAAACTAAGCGGAGGCGGAGGCGAAGGCTGGGCAATGGGATGGGCCTGTCAGTGGGCGGTGTGCTTAGGCATATGCACGCAGATAGAGAGCATTCGCAGTCGTATTTGCATTTGCATAAAGTAATGCTTTTTAATACCGCTTTTTGCTCCCATTTGATTTGATTTCGCTTAAATTATTCATATCCGCCAGCAGATGCAGACGCAGGGGAGACCCAGCAATTGTGAGCGATATGTCAACTGAAGTGGCAACACATGCACCAACTTCTGTATTTATACCCTGTAAAGAAGGGCTGTGCTAAACGAGACATCTCCTACTCAATCAAATTGTGAATAAATTAACGTAAAAATATTAAAATTTCGAATGCTGTTCTTTGCAATAATATTCTGGCAAATATCTTTTCTAGCCTTCAACCAATTAATGGGACAAAGCAGTAGTAATTGATCTCGATTAATCACACAAGCTGCACATTTTCCTAAGCCCCAAACTATTGTGGGATTGATTGGTGATCAACCAGGTAGCTGACATTTTTACTGTAGTTACCTGATAGGATGCACCTACTGCTTAAGATGGGGTTCATGGAAACTCTACCAGAAACTGTGAAAAGCTAGCGAAATATTTTCATTTTGCTTCACGGAAAGTGATTTCCTAAAAAATATGCACACCTTCTGAGTAGAAATTGGGGGTCAAATGTTGTGTGAACGATCGAATCGACTTCACATCATGTAGAATATTTATGTAAAATCTAGATACAAATTAAATGTTTTAGGTAATACTATGCGGGATATTGGTAGAAATTACTTTTTTAGCACTTAAATAAAAAATTTGGAATTACGAAGTGTGTAACGCTTAGAAGGAAAGCTCTCAAAGTTCACAAAGAAAGGGGGTAAATCAGTATCAAGGGCCAAGTCGTTTTAGCCATGCCGGACTGTCTATTGCTATGCAAACTAATCTCTAAGATTAAAAGCTGTCTTTCTTTTAAGAGAACTCATATGAATTTAATCGAAGTCGGCGAATAGATATAAGATGTAACATTAAGAATTACATATCTGTAAAGCCTCTCGACATCGAACCACTATATCGTATATATATCGAACAGCCTAACAACTGCAAAAGTGTCAAATGCTATATCCGGTTTATCATTATGTCTCGCATACTCCAAACTATCTTCTCGCCTCTGGAGGCCCAATATGATGTTGTTGGCGCTTTCTACACTTTAAGTGAGAAGTAGAACAACTGTTGATAGAGAACTCCGTAGACACTTGTGTTGCATTTTTATGAGCAACCTCGAGAGCTTGAATCGTAGTAAAACGCGGAGTCGCAGACACGCCATCTTCGTGATAATTTTGCCTCCGTGATATTTTTTTTAGAGATCAAAGTGAAATGCAAATGGGCACGGCGTGTGCTGCGACGGAGCACCGTAAGAGTGGCCAACCAGCTCACCACTAATTAAATTGCGAAAATTCCACGTGGGTTGTTTTAGCCCCGATTCGACTGAGCCCATTAAGACGCCTCTTACGCAAATGCGGCAATAATTGTTTTCATTAAAAAGCGCCACATTCCATTTGCATATTTAAATTGCAGATGCGTTGAGCATATCATCTTTTGGTTCCTTGACGAGGAGAACAAGTCTAATGGATAAGAACAGGCTCTGTTAGCGGTTTCTTAGGTTTCCCATAAACGATTTCCAATCGAAATCGTCTATATAGTTATCGCCAAGTTGTTGACCATAAAAGTGGCTTCGATTTTGAATTGATTCTTTAACTTTTAAAAGCATGCAAAGTTTGAAATGTTTATTAAATAAAAAAAAAATTTACCTTAAGTTGTTTAATATATTTAAACAATATGTTTAGAAATTTGATGGCATCCGTCTTCAGGGAATCTTACAACCATATAACCTGGGCTCGAACTCGGATGTCTTAAAGTTTTAAATGGTTTAGGAAAAACGATTGGATATCTGATTTTTTTTCATAAGATGTACTTATAAAGATGTATGTAGTATGATTTAGGACGTAAAATAGCTTTGCCTGGACGAAAATGGGAAGGATATATAAAGAAAACACAATTGTCCAAGACAATCTGTATATAAATCCGATGTTCATATGACGTTCCAAAACGAAATAACTCCGCGCGAAGATATGACGTTCCAAAACGACATAGCTCCGCGCGGAGTTGTCCAAATGTATGTAACAGGCAGAAGGAAGCATCTCCGACCCCATAAAGTATATATATTCTTGATCAGCATCAATAGCCGAGTCGATCTAGCCATGTCCGTCTGTCCGTCCGTCCGTCCGTATGTATGAACGCAAGGATCTCAGAACCTATAAGAGCTAGAGAATTGTAACTTTAGATGTAGGTGCTCCTAGTTCCCGCGCAGATCGAGTTTGTTTCCGATAATCGATAACTTACTCCGTTACCGAGCAATCAATGAAAATCGATATCGATATCCTGTTTTTTGGGCAATTTTGGTGAATAATTAGAACTAGAGTCACCAAACTTGACATATTGCTTCTAAAATAGAATATATATATGCATTTGATGTTGGAAGAAGAGGGTTCAGGGTATCCCCTAGTCGGGAGCTCTCGACTAGAGCCTCTTACTTGCTTTAAGTTGACATAGGCAGACGGATGGAAAGACGACTCTTCAATTGACTGTGGGAAGATGATGAGGAACATATATGGCTTATGCGATTGGATATTCATTTTCCAATTAAGTAAAGTATAAGTTCCAAGATTGGGGTAAATTAAATGCTGTCCAATGTAAAAATAATTTTCCATACAAAACTGGTTAGTTATATTGAAGAATTGATTTATTGCTTAAACATTACCAATAATTTCACTTAAGTTCTAAACAATTTCAATGATCTCGATAAAATTTGATTCCATTTCAACCAATCCATAAATACATAAATATACATATACTTAGTATGATGCTGATATTTGTATGTTTAGTTGTTGTTTATATTTTTATTTTTTAATCCTTGAACTTAATGATACATTTACAATTCGACATGCAGATTCAATTTCCTATATGCACGAGGCCCGGGGAATCGGGAATCGGTCCGGGCTGCATTTCGTACTAACTAACTTTAATACACACTTACTAATTAGATTGAGGCAAGATACGCTATGAGTGTATGACTTGAGAGTGTATCTTGTCAACAAACAATTAAGTTACTTATTTTCAATTGTATAAATAAAATCGACATTAATTTGCTCTGAAGATCACACATACTATGTTCCTAGCCTATGTGCTGCATAGATAGCTCGACATTCTTTTCTATTTTGAGTGAGGGATTGTATATAGAATATTGCACAGGTTGTGTTGAAACCATTTGGTGGGGCAGACAAATTCCGGGGACGCATTCAGAAGAGACCATTTAGCGCACGCACAGCATTGCCCAGAGTCGTGCAGCTGAGCTCCGGCGATGCGGCATCACGTGGTTGCCCCTGGCCAGACGTGGCACCTTCCTGTGGGGCTGTGGCACCTGCCGCTGCCGACACGAGCTGCAGTCAATCGATCAGCAGATCGCTGCTCAAGCTTGTGCTGGACTTGGTTGCCGTTGGCAATGTTTTGGACAAAGAACTTGTGACCACAGCCGCCGGCGCTGATACTGATGCTGATGACGATGCCGTGGCCGTTGCCGTACAACTGGCGAGGTTTTCCGCATAGTATCTCTGTCAAAATACCTTGGCTATGAAGGGCACATTCTCAAGGGCGGCAGCTGTGAGGCGTTGCTGTTGGTGCTGCTGTTGCGCGGGATGAGCCAGCTGCAGAAACGGGGAGCTGCCTGGGTAATCGCCGTGCAAGCCCCCTGGCGGCGCCTGCAGATGATGGGGAAAGTGGCTGCTGGCCGCGTTGGCCGCCGATGACTCCTGGTAGGCTGTTCGCGTCCAGGCCGAGTTGCTGGCCTCGCCGCTGGACAATGGCGGGGTGGTAACGTTGATGGGCGGCGACAGGCTGCCGGAGGAGGAGTCCGGTGTCAACTGGCTGGCCTGGCTGTAGTTGGAGAGCGGCTCGCGTCTGGTGTACTCACGGCGCCGCTCGTAGGCCGGCGGCAGATCATCGTCGAGGCCATCTCCGCCGAGCTCATGCAGCTTGCGCATGTGCTTCTTCAGGTCGAAGTTGCGGCAAAAGCCTTTGGCGCAGACCCGGCACGTGTACGGCTTTTTGTCGTTGTGTGTGTGCATGTGGAAGGTGAGATTGTAGATCTGGTGGAACGCCTTGTTGCAAATGTTGCACTTGTACGCCTTCTCGCCGCTGTGGGTCAGCTTGTGGTTCTTGTAGTTGCCCTTCTGGTGGAATCCCTTGCCGCAGTACTCGCACACAAATGGCTTATAGCCGGCATGGATGCGAGCGTGCGTGTTCAGCGTGGAGCTGCGATTAAAGGCCTTGCCGCACGTCTGGCACTTGTGCGGCTTCTCCGAGGTGTGTATGATCTTGTGGCGACACAGGGTCGACGCCTGCCGAAAACCCTTGCCGCACACCTTGCACACAAATGGCCGGGCGCCCGTATGCACCGGCATATGCCGTGTTAGGTTGTAGTGCGCATTGAAAACCTTGCCGCACTCCAAGCACGAGAAGGTCTTCGGCTTGCCCCCATTGGCCGAGCCCGGGCTGCTGTCCTCCATCGAGCCGTGCGGCGACGGCGACCGCGACCGTGCCACAGACAAATGCGACGATGTTCCAACTGGCGGCGGCAACGGCAACGGCAATGTCAATGGCGGCGTTGTTACGTCGCCTTGGGGCGAGCGCTTGCGCTTCAGGCTGGCATGCTGGGGCACATGTGGAGCCCGGATAGGAGACTTCTCCAGGCTCTGCTGCGGTGCCAATGGCTGCTGTTGAGACTGGGACTGAGCCACTGCAGCAGCAGCGGCAGCTGCCGCCAGTGGATGACCCAAGTTGCGACGCAGCGTCTGCGAATGATGCAGCGTGGCGTTGAGGGAGGCTGTGAAGCTACTGATGTGCGCCGCGCTGGCCAGCGTCTGCTGCTGGGCAGTCAGAGCCGCGTACTGGGCGGCGGCAGCGGCGCACATCAGCTGGTTGGGCGCATAGTAGAGCAGGGGATACTGCGACAGCAGTTCCTGATGCCGCGTGCTGACAAACTGCTGCACAGCGCTGGCCGAGGCTGAGCCAGAAGCTGTGGCGGAGCTCAAGCTTGATCCGGGCACATATTTCTTGAAGGCCGAGTCGTAGTTGATAGCCGTCATAGCTGCCGGCTCCTCATCGCCCGTTACCTCAATGGGGCTGCATGAGCGCTCCGAATCCGCGTACGTATCCGGGTTACGTGGTTCCTCCTCCAGCAGAGCATGTTCCTCAGACTGTTGCTGATTTAGCTGTTCTTGTTGTTGTTGTTGTTGCAGCGAGGAAAGAGAGGGCGGCGCTGCCTGCTTGTTGTCCGGCTCCATGATCTTGGCAATGGAGAACTTAAGTGGACACGAGCGCTTGGCATCGCTGCTAGCTTGATTGCCATCACTGGCGGCGGTTTCCATGATGGGACTTTTCGATGGCGGCATCATAGCGACAACACCCGATGGACTACACGGTTGCATGCCACGCGGACTCTGCAGAGAAGAAACAAAGGCATTCAGTTAGTCGTGTATGCAAATAAGCAACGGGTCATCAATTAATATCGAGCATACGCCCCATTGTTGGCAGCCGCCTTACAAGCTGCTCAGTCAAGTGAAAAGGCAAATCTAAAGCAATACAAACAAACGCAGCATCGTCGCAGGGGCGTTGCATGCCTCTAACCCCATTCTCACTCCCAATCCCAATTTTATTCCCAACCGTTCCCGTTCCCGTGCCCGTGCCCGTTCCTCCAAAGCTCAACGGGAGGACACACTCTTTGTGGCTGCCCAGTCAGCGGGTCGCAATTAAAACAAAACCGCAGCCATGTAAAAATTATGCAAAATACCCTATAGAATTTTAATAGGTCCGCTTATTGATTGTGGGCTTGCTTGATTCTTAACCCGTGCTTTAACCACGCTCGACTAGCCCAGAACAATGGCCACCAAGTCACCAAGTCGCCAGGGACCAGATCACCTCTCTGACAGCATATTGCCATAAATCGCTTCGGCTAAATCAATCATAACACAAACTTGCACACACATGCTCGGAGAGTCGCGTTCTCAGCATATTTTTGGCGCGGGTCTTGCGCTGCTTTTATTTGCTCCTCATTAAATTGTTTACACTTGGATGCAAGTGTAAGGTCTACCATCTCCAAGCTACACACGGTCGCCATCTCCACGCCTGCTCTCTCGAGTGTGCATAATGCGCGACATCCGTTTTGGGTTTCGGCTCAACCCGGGCCTCAGCCTTGCGGGTTCCCGTGCCCGTTCCTTGCCAGGCGTCGATGCATGCGACTGCCGTTTTTAATTAACTTTATTTGACGCTTCAGTAAGTAGCTTGCATATGGAGCTGGAGCTGGGAATAATAGTGTTGTGGATTGCCCGACTTCAAGTGCCATTAATTCCATTAAGACTTGCCCTATGGGGGCGGCCTAGTTTTAACCCTCGCCCTTGCTCAATTGGATCTTGACACTTGCTTTACTAAACTTTTGCGGACTAATATAAGTTTTCCAGTGGCCCCTTGAAACTCAAGCACAGACCCTTCCCACATACGGGTTCCCACCGAATAGGTTGACCAACATTCACCATAATTGATTACTTCAAATCCAACTAATCTACACGTAATACATGTAATACTTGGTGCTTCGCAAACATATTGTTTTGAATAATTATAAATAACTAAAATTGTTTCATAAACGATTATGCGAATAATATTTTCCGATTTCTACAGATATTACAATATTCCACACAGCTAAAAATCCAAATATTTCCCAAGAACAAATGTTGTTAAATAATGCATTCCATGCATAAACAATTTAAAGTTATCTTATTAAATGCGACACATCGCAACTTTTAGCTACTATATTATCAAGAAATAAGACTGAGGTACGTACAAAGTAAACCATATTTAGGCGCTGCCCAATCGTATCCAATTTGTGTGCCCTGCTCTGAATATAATATGATATATTTATTCACGTTTCACCAGCACAAATGTATATATTCTCGTTTTGTTTATTTATTTTTCAGCCCTGTGCACTTGTCGACTGGTTAAAACTTCGTTCGTTCCGAGAGTTTATAAGTTTATTCCTTATTTAATTGTGTTGTTTTTTTTAGTTTATTTTTGGCACTAACGCGATGGTTAACGTTCCGCACAGACTCAGCGACCGAAGCGGAATGAAAGCAAACACGAGGCAGTGTGGCCTTAAGAATTATGAAAAGGACTCTGCCGACTCGACGAGGGGACTCTGCTGTGACTGTGACTGGGCCTGTTAACTGAGCAAACTCCTGAGCGCGAGGGGTGCGGAAAACCACCCTTAAACGCGTTCCGGGCACTGTCTTTGGTTCGTGCGATTGCGAAAGAGATGGCATGCGAGGGCTGCGGCTGGCCAGGACATAGCAGGCAAAAGGACTACGGCAACATCATGATGACGTTCAGATTGGATGGGACAACAGCATTCACGTTACTGTTGCTGTTAGCGTCGACGCCTGCAGCGGCAGCGACGTCAACCGCTTTATGAATTTCACACAAAATGTCGAATCGGAATAATTTACAGAGAGCGAGCGCAGAGCCCGCCCCTAAAATATTTCTCTGCACGAGTGAGTGAGTGAGAGAGAGAGTGAACGAGAGAGATGGTAGTAGAGGCTGTCTTCTTATGGGTGAGTGTTGCCTTGGGTAACGTGCCCGTCACCCGCCGCGCCCCTACGAGCCGACGCACCTCTCTCAAGCGGCCACGCAAAGTGGCAGCCAAAACTTGGCCGTATTCTGTTCACACTTGATTTGAGCTCCCTTCGCCCCCGGCGGATTCGGCAAGCATCTGCAAGAAGCGCAGCCAGACACCGAAATGGCAGCGCCTCTGGTCGCCCACTCGAAAGAGTTGACGTCGCCTCTTTCACTTGTCCAACGAGCCCATTCCCAGGTTCTGGGCTCAGTCTCTGTCTCTGTCTCCGTCTCCGTCTCCAGCTCACCATCTTCCCATCTCCAATCCTGCAGTGTGCATGGCTTTGTTATGCATTTCAATTGCCGTTTGGCATTTCGTTTTATCAGTGTCTTTGTTTGCACATCTTTCACCTCGACTCTGCCGCCGGATAATGGCAATGGCGTCCTCCGCCATCAGCCGGGTGCAAGTTCCGCCTGCGCCCACTTTTAAAACGTGGAGTCTCCAGATGTCTACTGCTCCGTCGCCCCGACTTGGCAAATATAATCTTATATTCATTTTGATGATATCGCACAGCACGACGCGACATTCTTGATTTTGTTTGCTCTTGGAGTTTGCCTCGACTTCGTCCACGGCGTTGAATCCTCGCTGCCTTTACTGTCAAAGCGCAGCTCCGCTGCAGTTGAGCAACTTGTACATCCAAAAGCACAACTCTTCGGGGAGACGGAAAGGCCAAGAAATAAACAGACCAGACCAACTGTCAAGCAGAATGACGACAATGACGACAAACTCGCAGCCGCCATTCTGTTGCTTTATAATTTAAACGTCGCTGAACTACATGCGCAAATAAACGGGGCCAGTCAAATTGTCCCTAATACTCGGCACATTACAATAATTGAACTAAACTGAACCTGGGCCATTCAACAACATGTCTCTGCAAATGCTTAAATTCAGGACACATACGAAAGCTACATATATGCAAGTACAGGAGCAAAACTTGGAATGCTACTGGACTATGCATTGGGCTATATTTTATAAATTAAGGCATTGAAAGCGTATTAAATATGACATAAGGTACAGTGGATGTTGTAGTCGAGCTCACTCGATTCAAGTGTTTTTACTTGATTAAGTATATTCCAAAGTTCATGAATTTTAGAGTCATGTATGTTCTTTAACTTCAAGATTGGATATCTTTTCCCGTTACTCCATAAAAATAAACCTCATTGCTCAAGGAATAATTAAAAGTCGCTAAAAATGTTATGTTATTCGAACAATGCACAAGGAGTTATTTACAAATTAATTTATCATAATTGGCGGATGAAGGAATATATATATAATAATGTTTGTATGCTAATTAATTTTAATGCATATTTGGGCAGCAGGGTATCCTCCAAGTCGGCCACTCTGGAGTTGAATCTTAACCTATTCAAAATGTTTAAAGGGGCTACAATCGCGACTCCATACGGATTGCCAGGCGTTTGAAGAGTGAAAAGCCATCCGAAAAGCCACACTTCAAATTTCGGGTTAACATTTGAATGAATACACGGTAAAATATTGAATGGATAGAGGAAGAGATATTCGGCCTTATAAAGTGCAGTTATTGATCAGCATCAACATGTTCGTCCATTCGTAGCCCCAAAACTGTAAAGCACGCATTTATTTTAAAGAGTCTTGGGATCTGGTTCACACGCATTTGAATACTTATTCTGTTCTCTGATCCAAATAACATCAAGCAGTACAGCCACAGGACAAAGTGCGTGGCAAGCAGTCTTATTTCTAACACCAGCTCGAAACTGGCTACAAGGTATCTCTAGTCTTGTACTCTCGAGTGAGCAACTGTTGTTTTTTTTTTCAGGTTTTGCACTTGTGTTTGCAATTTACTCAGTGCTTTCCCCTTTACCCTGCTCACATAGCCGCCACTCAACCTTCATGTCCTGCCGCAGTCTATCCTGCAACAGCTTTGCATTGAAAGTTAGCATAATCAGAGTTTGCCCGCCCATTTGGTGTTTGTGTGGTATGTGTATGTGTGTGCCATGTTTACACGGCCTTTGTGACCAGGCGCAGGCCATTCCGGAGAGAAACGTGGTGCACGACCGGACTGAGCCCTGGAGGAGTCAGCAGGCAATAGGCATCAGCAAGCTTTTCATTTGTCATTTTGTTGGTTCTGCACATGTGAATGTCCAGTTTGTTTGCTGATGTTGAAAGTCGACTCGTCATTTTTTAGTGCAGCGTTAAATGTGCAATTTTTTGTTTTTTTACCCTGTGCCCGTACAAAAAAGGGTATAATGGATTCATGCGAGTGCGAGTAACAGGCAGAACTTACGATGCCTATCCTGCCATTGGGTATATACTTATATTATTGGTCAGTATCTAAGCAAATCCGTATGCCACAAAATGCATATTACCCTTGAGCTCCCGCTTTCTAACTCATCAAATTCGAAATAATTCAAACTCTTTCACATAGATGCATAAATGATGTAACTATTATCTTACAATGTAGAGCTCTGAGTCTTTAAGTTGGGAAGAGGAACTTTCACAAAAATCTTTTAAAAAAATAGTTACAGATTTAACAGGATCATTTTCTAAAATTAGCATAAATAAAACTGAAACAGCTTAGTCTTTCAAGGATGCGGGAAAGAAGAAACTCAGCTGGGTGTGTTGTGGAGCAACAGAGTATCTCGATGCCGGCCCCCACTCCAACTTACTTCTCCTTACGTTGTTGCCAATCTTGAGTTGACCCAATGGAGAGAGTGCTCACGGTGTTGTGCAAACACAGAGCTTATGACGTGGGACAAGTGCGCGTGTTCAAGCAAGGTTGTCAGAGTTCATGGTATGTTTGAAGGCAACTAGGAACCCACTGCGAAAATGTGCGCAGGATTTTGATTAGAAGATGTGGAAAAAGAGCGGCAAAGCTTAAAAATATTATTATTAATAGAAGATATTATTTTCATTTAGCGCGTCCTTTTAAATTATTCATTTAATCTTGTTAAGCAGATCCTGCAATACAGGATCCAAAGCAAGTAAGTTCCTAAAGATTTTCAATGTAGTCCTACTTATTAGATCAAATACATACAAATTTAGTTAATATTAATGACAAGTTAATGACTAATTTAGAGCATGAATTCGAAATGGATGAATAGCATCTTGAGTGAGCTAAATGTTGATCACGACTTAAGGATAAATGTAGTTAGAGATATTCCAAGTACATAGTAGACTTATATACAGATTTTACTGTGGCTTAAGCGCTAATGTATCAATATAGTAGGGCTAAGCCCACAAACGATTCCATTCTATAATGGTCATCAGTAGTACATATACAAGTATTGACAGGGCTATTGGCCAATAGCAGAAGAGTGAGAACCACTGCAGTTCCTATTCATTTCGGGAACAATTTGTGGGTGTTGTGAAGAATTAACCTCTTAATGAACTAATTTACTAAAGATTAAGACAGCAAACAAAGACGACCACAGCTAATTGTATCCCAGGCAAATCTAAGACAGACAAGCGGAGTAGCCAGGGAAGGAACTGAGTGTAGTTGCAGCAGGCAGATGAGAATGCACGCAAACCTGAGTCAACGCTCGGATACAAAGTTGTAGGTAGCTGTTGCTACAATCTGAGATACGATTCAAGCAAATTGCAAGGCGGTTAATCTATTTAAACGCGCCAAATACACGCGACACAATGGGCAAATCGGGGAGAATCGGGACTAGAAGACTATGAAGCTACGGACGCATGTTCGAGTGCACAGATTTAGGGATAGAGAGGATCAGAGGCATAAATGCCCGAAATATGTCTACGGGCTGAAAAAAAAAAAAAACAAAAGCGAAAACTCGTCTAATTGCCATCGTATGAATTGGCAATGAGAGGACCGGACAACAGGACAAATAGACGAAAGGACGAAAGGACGACGAAACGAAAGGAACCTGCCGCGCATGCGCAAAAGCCGATTGTGGGACAGCCAAGCCTCAGAGCAGACTGATGCTGGCGAACATCCCTTAATCTGTGTCGGTAATCGCCAAATGCCTACAAAGAGCGGGCGAAATCTTTTTGAACTTTTACAAGCGAAAAGAAGGTTAGCAAAATATTATTATAAACCTTCGGGTCTAACACAAATTATGTGTTCGTTTACTCTTCAATGAACTCAAAACATTTCAATTTCACAATCGTAACAATGCCAGCGCCCGTTCTCGTTCCCGTTCCCGTTCCCGTTCTCGCTCCTCATCCTTGTCGTCGTCGTCGTCGTCGCTAATATAGCGATTTACAGGATTACATCAATTGTGAAATTGGT